AAACAAAGACCTAATATTATATGTTGTTCCACAGGTATCTCTCCATGTCCAACGACTACTCCAGGTATGTATTGGTTTATTGATTTGCTGTAATTCAGAAGAAGCTGGATCAGTAAACAGAATGTATCTGCTGATGAGCTTTGAGATRGAAAACAGAAAAAATGATCAGATTTGAACGTTTTTAATTAACCGTATTTATGCAAATCAGCTATCAAGGAGCCTCATACTGTCATTCTTCACAAAACATGAATTAAAAATGTCCCTTTTAAATTGTGTTGCTTATGAAACTTATGTCTGTTTAAGAAAATATGTCTGCCTGAAGGTCATTTTAGGTTCACACAGTCAATTGCAACAGTAGCTGATGTAAAACACTTTAAGTTAGCTTTTATTCTGGAAGGTGAGAGGAAATCTTCAGAAAACCCACCATTGAGTATACCTAAAAATGATCAAATCACAAAAAATGTCCAAGCATATGCTCTACTGGGAGACAATTTGAAAAAAAAAAAACCACATAAATAATAGATTCTTGTGAATTTTGCAGATATAAATGGACAACATTGAGACAATAGATAATAAAACCCAATGTGAGTCTAAATAACAGTAGATTCCTTGGGCAGAGCCCTATGCTAAAAGACCCCCTGAGCTCTTGTGCTACGTTCAGACCGAATGCATTTTGAACATCCAAAATGTGCCTGCAGCATGCAGTTGGSTGCTTGTGCTCTTTCAAGTCAGACGCTATCAGTGTGAACGTAGATGTGCATCACACGCCTCAGGAAGAGCGTCTGTTGTTTTCTTCTGCTGCTCTCTGTTTAATGGCGGATGAAATAAAGAAAGTGGCTTTGCTTTATTTACTGAGAGCAAGAGAACATTGTGCTCACCAGATAATTAWTTCACCAGATAATTAACTCACCAGRTAATTAATTCACCAGATAATTAACTCACCAGGTAATTAATTCACCAGATAATTCAGAGGCAGTCTGTTCGGTGAGTTTCACCACAGGAGCTACGAGCTGACGAGGCTCGCTTTCAGAACTATTTTTGTCTCGAGCTCGGTTTAACACCACGGTCAGTTTAACAAGCTGCTGACCCGCATCGGTGCTGATATCTCTAGCCAGAACATCAACTGCAGACAGTCAATTTCAGCTAAAGAGCTCCTGTACGTCTGTTTCAGATTAGTGGGCAAAATTCAGAAAATCGTCACGTGGAAAAATGCACCACTCTGTCACAGAGCAGAGGCTCTCTGATTGGTTGGCGCAGCACGTCAAGCAGGAAAAGTTCAGATTTTTCAACTCAAGCATTGGCTGCTTTCAAAAAGCCGTCCGTTGCCTCTCACCTTCTCCAGTCCTACCAACATCCTACCCTACTGCAGGTTCCTCTAATGGTTGGGGAGTGGTGATTGTTTCCAAGGACCGGTAGCCACAGGATAAGTGGCTTAAACCTCATGTGCTCTACTAATTTTGTCCCCACACACACCAACCATCAGCATACTAGCAGTTCACTAAAAGCTCATTTAAGGTCGCTCCAAGCACTCCAGTACCTTCTCTCCCACCTGTCCTGGATCTGAATCACATGTTGCCAAGATCTATGGCCTGCCCCACCCTATTTCTGATTGGCTAGTAGGCCAGTTTAGTGTGGTTGAAAGTGAAAGTTGCATCTCTGTTAGATCCAGAGAAATGTTTGTTGAATCCCAAGGTGAACACCCCCCMCACACACACACATCACCACCACACCCCAAATGTATAATAGATATATGACAATATTTATAATAATAATATTAAAAGTTGATTAGACACAAAGGTATAGCAGACAAGGCCATTGAGCACATGCCGTCACCCTGAAAAGACATGAAACACAAAGTTTGTTCTCTGGAATATGTTTTGCAATAAAAACAACTTATGGTAATTTGTTTTCTATTTTTAATTTACAGTGACAACACCATCAACAGCACCTGTGCCTGGTATGATACAATAAAGCCCTGTGTTTAAGTTTGTGAGACTGGCATTTGTACTGTAACAATTCAGGCTTGGTCTGAAATTGTCGTGATGGACAATTTTTCAATTAGTAAAAAGTTATAAAAGAACAGTAATATAAATCATTTCCATGTTCATTTGTCACTGCCTAATGCTGACCTAGCAATCTTCTGGTATAAGTATAGTACATACATTATCTTTGACTCTTAAACAGTACTAGACTTTTATTTTTGTTTAAACGAATCATAGTTTGTAGTCAATCCAACTTTAGCAGCTTTAATAGTTCCATTTTTGTGACATTATGTTATGCTGAGATGTGTGGGAGCAGGATGGAAGCTTAAGTGTTGTAATGTGATCGAGGACATCACATTAATCTCATCTCAGGACATTGTCCAACTCAGACCCCATTGTTATAATATTTATTTTCTTTTTGTTTGCACAAATATATAAAGCAAAACTTTATTTAACTTATTTTCTTCCTTTTACCAGTGATAACATTAAACTAATTTGACTCTCCTCCTCTCACCTCCTCTGACCCAGTGGATTATAATGTGGTCGTAGAGCTGCTCATCCCACTCTCCAGTGTCCTGAATTTTACTGAGATCAGAAACAAACTGAAAAA